GGGGGGCTGATCACTCTCTCCGACAGATTGTTACTAGCCAAAATCTCGAAGAGTAATACTCTTTACAAATGATTAAAGTTTATATAACTTCAGCTTTTGAACAGATATTTGATACGCGTCACTATAGAGAAACAGTAAGTCTTTTTTGGTCATTAACTCTAGTGACGCTTGGTTTAACACTTTATTTAAATATGAAGAAGAAATACAAAATGATGTTATGACCCTGAAAATTTGGCCATTCAAATCTCAAAGCTTGTGGGCGTTTAAGTGCAAAGGGGCTTCATCTGTCATCTGCCAGGATGTGGGGTCTTTATGCAAATTTCCCCAATCTGGGCGAGGCAAGGAGCCCCAATACGGTTTGCTCTGCTGCACCTCTGAAACTTGCCAGATCCTCGATGCGGCGCGTATGCCAGATTGCCTGAAAGGGAAAACACACAAGATTCCCCATTTACGTCCAGGTGCTTCTTTCAAATCTGTGGAAATAATTCCCTCCACAAATTGGTCGCTTCAAAGACCATGGAGGAGCTACAATATCTGTTATAGGAAGCACATGTAACAGACATAATTGTATGGGTAGAAAACTTCAAATGAAGCCCATTTGAATGTTTTTCTAGGGGGTATCAGATTCACTTCTTTGCCCTAACATACAACTAGGAGCTTCAAAAACATAATAAAAGTAGAAAGTACTGAAAAGGGTGATAATCACTTATAAACCAAACGCCTCCAGATATCTAGAGTATTGGAGTATAGCAACTGAATCCATTAGTGTTTTAAACTTAACTTGATCTGCACTGCAGATCACGGCAGGCCATTTTATGCAATTGTAACTCTGCAATTAAATAATATGTAATGTCAGTATGAAATTCTCTTTCGACTAATGTGTTCCTGTTTCCTGTGGTTATAATGTTACAAAAGCCTAAAAAAACACATCATTCAGGTCCCCCTCAAACTCCTAACCAAGCCCAAATTAAATAAATGTCTATTTCGGTATCAGGGTTTGCATTTTAATAAACTTCCTTTATTTGTGTCCATACAGGACATAAATATATAAACAAACCTGTGAGCTAAATGAGGAGCAAATTTCCAAAACTCACAGTTCATGGATATATTTTCGAGAAAATGTCTGTGGAAATCTGACTAGCTGAAGTTCTTCATTGAATTACTTGAGGACTGAGTTCTGGTCCTCAAGTGTTGGGACATCTAGCTGTTACACATACAGGAAATTTTTATGACATCCCATTCTAAATTCATAGGCAGTAATATGGAGATGGTTCCCCCATTGCAACTATAACAGCTGCCACTCTTCTGGGAAGGCTTTCCAAAAGATTTTGGAGTGTCTGTGGGGATTTTTGCGCATTTATCCAGAAGAATATTTGTGAGGTCAGACACTGATGTTGGACGTGAAGACCTGGCTCGCAATCTCCATTCTAGTTCATCCCAAAGGTGTTCAGTGGGGTTGCGGTCAGGGCTCTGTGTGAGCCAGTCAAGTTCTTCCACACCAGACTCACCCAACCATGTCTTTATGGACCTTGCTTTGCACACTGTGGCACAGTCATGCTGAAACAGAAAGGGGCCTTCCCCAAACTGTTCCCACAAAGTTAGAAGCATAGAATTGTCCAAAATGTCTTGCTATGCTGAAGCATTAAGAGTTCCCTTCACTGGAAGTAGGGGGCCCAGCCCAACCCCTGAAAGACACCCCCATACCATTATCCCTCCTCCACCAAACTTTACAAATGGCACACTGCAGACTGGCAGGTAACGTTCTCCTGGCATCTGCCAAACCCAGACTCATCCATCAGAAGTGTGATTCGTCACTCCACAGAACATGTTTCCACT